GTGCACCACGTGAAGGTAAGTCTATCGCACACCCCATTTTCGCTATATCAAGAAATAATTTGCTTTCAGTCTGATCAAATGACTAATCGACTTATTGATTAAAAGTATTGGTGGTGGCAGAGCAGCGTGTAAGCACTTGGAGTCCGAATTTATGAGTTTGGTGCTTGTCGATGCGCAGTGGTGTGGAAAAGTTTAAAAAAATCTTTCCTAATTGAACTTGAAGTTACTGTTGATTCTCTAACTAGTTTTCTTTGATTATCTGAGTAGTGTATGAGCTGCGGTCTACACAACAGTCTTGCTCGAGCTGCCATGATGCATTTGAGTTGCGAAGAGGCCATCAAGAATTGCCATGGATCCGTCGGCGAGATGATCAATCGCAACATCACCGCTTTGGATTGGCGAGCAGACAAAGCGACATTCCTTCGTCGAAATGAGGTCGCCTTCTCTCGACCTCCCACCTTCTCATTCCTCCCTTTCAAGGATGATTCCGTAAGTAGTCGCTCTATTTGCGTTCAGTCGATTCGTGGTTGTCCCAACTGCTTAAAGCATTCCAAAGTCCTGCCTACTTTTGTGTTTTTCTTGTTCCAGGAATCTGAAGTGGTTGCAGTTCCTCCCCTGCGTAATAGCCTGGCTGCAACAGCTGCCGACCTTCGGGCAAATCTTGAACAATTGAAGGCGTCTACTGAAGAGGCATGGAATACTTTACAAGATGTAAGATGTGTCCATGTTCATATTCCTCTTTTCTCTTTTAGTTCATTCGAATGGTAATGAGTCCTTACATTATTTGTCTATGTGATTTCTCATAAAAGAGCCCAATCCGATTTTAAGCTCCTACCTGTAATTTGGGATGGATGAATAAGACGTTTTCGTATTCTTTTCTTACCTAATAACCATGTCTTTACCTACAATAATCTACAATCTATCCCATTTTGTTATTGTACTTCCTCTTTTTTAGACATTTGACTTTTTCGGACCTATTTAGCCATTAGTGGTTTATTATTTGCTTTAGTTTTTTTACTCAAGGTTATATCCAGGCTGGTGGTTCGGTCCGGTGTGCGTAAAGTGAAAGCCTCATTTTGTGTTTACTTTCCATGCGCTGGTCTAGGCGACCAATTTTCCTCTAATGCCTATGGCTGCCCTACCGACCAAAATGGTCCTGTCCCATAGGATTGTAGGTGTGTAACAAGGGAGAGGGAAATACCGTAGAAACAAAAAAAGTTGTCGGTTTATGATATGTTTGTAACAAAATGGAGTACATGATTTCAAATTGGTACTTTTGTCCGAAAAATAGATCTCACTACGTGGCCATTGTAATCGCATCCTGGTGTGTTGCGTCAATTACAACCGCTCAGATAGACAAGGGAGTTTCATTTGACATCAGGGAGAAGTCAAATATGCTGAAGTCGCCTGGTCTGGGCAGGCTAATACACATAAATACGCTTCACATTTAATTCTTTTTTTTTAATTAAACATCTGAGTTTTGTCTTCGTTTCTTTCCTGTATAATTTGTGTTTGAGTGCATAAATACTTGGATGAGTTAGTTGTCTAGTGACACTTCTCTCTTTCTCTCTCTCTCTCTCTCTCTCTGCTATTTCAAGTTATTAAGCATACTAAGGAATCATGAACGCCACATCGGAATCTATTTTGTACTTATTCCCCTGGATCTTATATTTCATTCACCATTGGGGAAACCTAGATTTCAGGTTTGGTCTTGGTTTGTTTTTCTTACCATCTTCTCCGCAATAATAAAATCCGTGTAATTTGGAATTTATGCATAGAATTTTCCCCTGGACTGACTTTCATTTGTTTGGGGATTGATATTGGTATGGGAATAAAAAGAAACCGAGTATTTTCGGTTCCCTGAACAGAATTCATAAAATTCGTTTGCTCCTCATCGGTTATTGGCTAACCAACCAGCCAATCAACGCAATAGCATAAAACTAGGCCTTTGGTTTTGAATTTACTTGATTAAACGCAAGTGTTTAGTACTAAGGAGGTTGGGGTTTTGGCTTTACTTCCTTATAACAATTCTATGCCACAATTAAATCAATTAAAGAGTGGGATGGAAGGAGAAGAGGTATGGTCTGTGAGTTTTAGAGTTTTAAAGACATCTGTTCAAACTCGCAGAGATAATCCACAAGCCGATGGAGTTCCCTCTCCTGTTGAAGGTACTTTTAGCGTTTGCGCGAAATGATAATGCCACTGTAACAAAATCACCTCAATAGATTATGAAAGAAAAAATAGTATTGAATCTCCAGACCAATTAATGATTTTAAGGGTCACACACAGTAGGGCTTTGATTCTCAATGCACTCCTAAATCTTTGACGGTCCTTGAATTGTTTCCATGGTCTCTTTTGTTCAGATCTTCTCCATGCTTAAAAATTTGGCATTTTCTCTCTTATATGCTTAATAATAATAATAATCAGACTATTTTTGAGCTGTGGATTTCATGCATTCTTTCTATCGTGTCTGAGTAATTGAAACTTTATATCATATTATAACACTAACTACTTGCCATTTTATAAGATTGTCGAGTTGTATTCTCTCCTAAAATATGCGCTTTATAAGAGTCATTTTAATACACTTGACGAAGAGGACTTATCACTTGGTTTTCGTAGTGTAGTCAGTTTTGTGTATTTAGGCAATAAAACATTTTTCTCGTTGGAGGCTTCATATTTCTAAAAGGCTACCACCATTTCATTAGATGCGATAATTTGATGCCATACTATTTGATCTTAAGGTATTATATAACACTAGTCTTTTTGTGGATAGCTATGAGGTCTTCACACTTTTTGATAGATTATCATTTTCCTTAAATTCTTTTTTTGCATTTTTAGATTGAGAAGAAACTGTTAGTTCTAATCAACCAGAATGACTATGACGTCTCTGAGTTATTTGCAGACTCCGCACTCTCCAATAAGAGACGCCGACGTCGTTCTGTCAGTCCAGTGAACGGAGACAGCGGAGGTGGAACACGACAACCGATTCCAGCTAGTCCTGCAAACAGTATTGCTGGAACAACTGGTCCTCCCGGGTCTGGACCCGTAACAGCCGCATCGATCTCCTCTCTAAACAAGGGGATTGGTGGAACGCCGCTTTCATCATCGTTGCCCCCTGAAGAAATGGGCTCGAAAGCCTCTGTGGGCTCATCAGCTGCTGAAATTCAACCTGGCCTCTACTTGGCCATGAGAAATACTTATAGAGAGCAAAGGATTAGAGAAGAACGCATATACATGGAACGTTTTTCTGCTTATACTCAGGAGATGCATCGGTGTGTAGTAATGCAGGCTAAATTGGCCGAAATAGAACGTGCTCTTGCCAATCAGCAAGCAGCTGCAGCGTCAGCCTCAAAAGCAGCCCAAAATCCCATCCATCGACCTCATGGCTTCTCCACGCCCCTGCAACGTCCCCCCTGTCTCGTAGGTGATGGTGGTGGCGGCATGATGATGTTGACCCCAACAAGTGAGACAGGTTTAGGTTCACCCTATGGTGCACCCCCACCCCCTCCTGTACCTCCTACCCCCACCACGCCCCCTGCCACTAATCAACCAGCTGCTCTCGTTAAAGTCGCTCCTCGACGTGTCCTCCAAGTGCCCAATGTAGGTCGTCCTAAACTTTTTGGGGGCACTATTGATGAATATGTGACAAAGACAGGTGAACAAATCCCGCGTGTTGTTCTATCCTGCATTCGTGTCATTAATCTCTTCGGTGCGTCTATGGAAGTGTTTTTTTAGCAGCTCGCTCATAGTTAACTTTACTAATCATCGTTTTTTGTCTGCAGGCATGCATCATCAAGGTGTGTTCCGTGTACCTGGAAGTCAGGCGGAGATCAATATCTTCAAGGAGGCCTTTGAATACGGGGAAGATCCTCTTGTGGGCTTGTCTGATTCTCGTGACATTAATTCAACTTCGGGCCTGTTAAAACTGTATTTCAGGGAGCTTGGAGAACCGCCTTTCCCTAAAGAAGTCTTTATGGAACTCGTTCAAACAGTGCGAGAAAGTATGAATCAACTTATTTATCACAGCGGATCGTGTTGTTACTTTTTAATTACTGAGAATAATTTAAGTAGAATGTTGTTAGGGCCTCTTTTGTATTCTTGGGGGGGGGGGGGGGGGAGGNGGGGGGGGGGGGGGGGAAGAGATATAGCTTTGTTTTGATCTGTTTTACAGGGAATCTTAGCAACTCGATTTCTCCTTATCACCGTTGTAATTCCATATCCTTCATCGATGTTGTTGTAAGACTAAAAGTTTATCTCCGTTCCTGCGACAATCCAGTTGCCCACTAGATATAGATAAGCTACAGCTAACTCAGATCCATATATATATATATATATATATATATATATAGAGAAGACAATTGCTTNATATATATATATATATATATATATATATATCGAGAAGACAATTGCTTATTCACTTCAGGCTACCTCCGTATTTGACAGTGACAATGCATGAAAATTGTAGTCTTTTCAATGATCGAGGTTTGAAAGTCAACTCAAAATTGTTTGGATGACAAGTTTTATCCAGGCTGTTCAAATTGATAAGAATGACTGCTCTTTTGGTTAACACCTGGGGCTCATGTGGGCTATTTTTTTCTGGGACAGAGCGTTAAACCCTGGGGTCTTGAGTATTGTCTGTTGTTTGCTTTGTCTTCACTTTTTTTGGCACATAATGAGGCTTATTTGTTCTACAATAATTGCTGCATTTAACTGACCCTCATCTGTCTATCTAAAATTGACAAGACTCATTGTGTCCCCCTCCCCCTCCCCAAATGTCTATTATCCAATCAAATAGTGTCAGTAATCGCTTCTACAGGCGGTCTCGCTATTACATCTACCCAGTTAGACTTGACCCTTCAGGCTATCGACGTGTAGGTATAATGGATGAGTATTTATAGTAATCCTATCTAATAACCTGTCATTTCCATTTCTCTTGTCGTTAAGTCCACATTGTTTGTTTGCCTACGCAGTCCATAATTGACACGAACTACTGACGTGTGATCCTCTTAAGACGTGCTCTCAGTCTCTCTCTCTCTCTCTCTCTCTCTCTACTTTTACTATTCTTTTGTACGTAGGTCTCAGTATGCTTCACAGTAGGAAGTAAATTTGTGTCATTATAGCTTGTCCAGGTTGCTTAGCGTCCCTTCCATTAACTTTATGTGGATATGTGTATTAATGTCATTATTTTTTTCATTATCTTAGAGCGCGATTCTGACGAATGCATTGACCGTCTTGCTTCAATAATCTCCGCTGGCCTTTCCCACCATGTGTTTATTGTTATGCGTTATCTTTTTGCATTCCTGAACCAGTAAGTACACTTTTTTCCCAGAAATCACTAGCAGCAGCGTCAATTCGCCGTTTCCGCTAATTCTTCCTCTTCCACTACCTTCAATAGCTTATCAGAGTATTCCGACGAGAACATGATGGATCCCTACAACCTGGCCATCTGTTTTGGCCCAACACTCATGCCAGCTCCAGCAGATTTGGATCAGGTTGAATTTCAGTCGAATGTTAATGATGTGGTGAAACTCTGCATCAACCATCATCGGCGTATCTTTGACCCGACTGTACCAGGTGCGTATTATGAGAAATTCGCCGCATATGCCTCCGCTGTTCCACCGGTCCTGCCCCGAGCTCTTGCAAGTGAGGCCGCAAAGAAGGTTTGTAACCTTCGACATCAGGCATCGGCACCTACTTCGACAGTTTCAAAGGAGCCTGCAATTCATGGCGGAAGTGATAGTCCTACAAAATCTGGCTCATTGGCTGCTCCAGGTGCTGTGAGAGGCACTAATACGCCTGGAGTGAAACAACCGTAAGCTACTTATCACATATAAGTAGTCCTAGGGGGGAGTTCAGATAGGCTTTCATCCATTTTGGCTGTTTCTTAGCGTAATGACGGTAGAAGAATTCGGGCTAGTTGGGTAACTCGTGACAAGCATTAAAGGAAATATCTCTATGTGCTGAGTTCTTTGATTTTTGCTACCTTTGTTTTGCCTAATTTCGTCCTTGCGGGTAGGTTTGGGGGGGGGGGTAGAGAGAGCTGATTTTCTGCCTAAGTGTTTGTGAAGAGCACTGATTTTTGCATGCAAAAGTGTCCAATATATCGGGAATAAAATGCCGAGTATATCCGCGGCTCTATGTGAAATTAATTTAGAAAATACTTGGAAGTTTTTTTTCTCAAATTTGTTGGAGTTCTACGTGCATGTATGTTGCATCAGGGACCATTGGGTTCTTGTTTAATTAGCACTAGTCAACATGTGTTCATAATATAGGCTCTTTCCTTAGCACCGCGTGTGTTGAACTTTGGAAAGTTTAGCCTTGAATATGGGCTCGGAATCGTTTCACTATCCTAAGTTGTTAGGATCTAGAGTCTGGTTGTTATTAACTGTGTTACACCAGAAATATTTCCGTATTTGCGTGTTAAAGACGTGGATTCCTAAATGAAATTATCAGCGTAGGACGGTGCAAAGTCGCGCCAAGCTCCAATTCTTACCATGAACACAACCAAGACTGCAAGAGGGTAGAGGGGGGGGGGACAGAAGATGCACCTTGGCCTCCTTGCATACGCGGGATCGGAAGGATTGATGAAATAAAATTTCGTGGGAATGCTAAACCAAAACTCTCGCTTGTTATAATTGAAATAAAGGAGTAAATGAAGTAGAGATGAAAGCAACTTCTCTGGACGTTTTTTTTCGGCATTCACTCTTTGCACAGTTTTTAAATGTGTAGCGGCAAAGTGCAACTAGCAGGCAAATAAACTACTTCTGCTGTATGCTATTGCACTTCTCACCTTTGATATGATATGTATCCCAACTTCCTTTGAAAGGTGTTTTGATTGGGTGATTGGATGTTTCAACAACTACCATATTTCTACCCATTAAGCTCGTCATTTTTTATTGGTTTGATAGCTTCCTGTATGTTCTTTTTTTAAATGATTCGGGGAAATACAACCCCTTGATAGTTTGAGTAGATTGGATGATGTTTCATGTATGAGGGCTACACCCGCGATTATCTTATGAGCAAAAATCCTCATGACTAGAGAATATGTTGAGGGAAAGATGATTACTGCATATTTATAGCAGTAAACACTTGGTTTCATGTGCATGCCGTGCTAGCGACTCCTCCAATATGGTTGACAAAACGGTAATCAGCTACTCCCTCTATCGATGAAGATTGTTCGCGATATTAGGGCTCTTGACATGCACTTACAAATATTTATTTATTTATTTCAAATGGCAGGCGTTATGATAGGTATCATTACCCCTTTAGTTCCGGCGCCCTGCTTCACAAAAAGGAAGAGGAACACCAAAGTGGCAAAAATGCTTCACAGAAAGGAAGAGGAACACACAGTAACAAAAAGTCGAGAGGGGGGGGGCAGAATAAAGATTCACAGACATAAAAGAGACAGACAGACACAAAGGTAAAAAAAGATGAGGTGAGTACTGT